CTCCACCATGAGGAGGCGGAAATGGTATCCTAGTAGGAGTAGAATAAGCTGTCCTGAAAAAAAGATGGTAGATCTTGAAAATGATGGACAGAATGATCCAGATTAAGGACACATTTATAAATAGTTCTTTTATTATTGTTGACTTCTAGACTTAGGCGAAACTCAAACATGAGGCCCCGATAACACCCAAAGTGGAAAAAAATAGGGTTGCATCTTGTGTGTGTATAAGGAGCACACAAGGAACCCACGGCAACGCTCTGATTGGCCAGATCTCGCGAGACACATGGTCTGCGGAGCTGCAGACCTGTTGTTATGGCCACCGGACCACCAGACTGGAGGGGCATCGCACCTGCCGAGCCTCCTCCTGGTTTCGGGTCCTTGGTCATGGACCCAAAATAGTCTGACCTAAGGCAGTTTAGGCGGCCACAAGGCCCCAGGCAACACGGAGCCTTAGGCAGCTGCCTAAATCGCCTAATTAAAGAGCCGCCTTTGACCATAGCTTCCACCTCCATCAAGGTCCCCTGTGGTGCAGAAGGGGTTAAAAAACCCTTTTGTTACTTACCTGGGTCCAATGCCGATGTCCCTTGGGGCTGGTTCGGGTCCACCTTCACTCCTCCTCCTCCCCCCCGACGTCACTCAGGGGGAGACTTAATGCGCATGCGCAGCAATTGGCGCACTCGCATAAGGATTTCCCTGTGACAAACTCCCCAGTCCAAGTGAGTTTGCAACAAGTTCTTGGAGGGGCCTGTTTGCCAGCCTCCTGCCCTGTGACTATGGCCCCTGTAATAAACTATTTGTGAAGCAGCACTTCGAACTCCCGAAGCAGTTCGAAGTGGCACTTCGAACTCCCAAAGCATTTCGAAGTGCCATTCGAACGCGTGGCAGCGGCCATCTTAAGCCACATGTACAATGAGCGGTGTTTGGTCATGGAGTTCATGGAACTCAAATCGGACAACCGACGGCACGAACACCGCTAACTATTTACCTTCCATGGATGTTCGGCTATTTGATCGGGAGTCGAACAGCGTTCGGTATTTTGTGTGCACTTCAAATCCCCAAAGTAGACCAACCGCACAGCCGAATTCTCTGGAACTGTTTTGGGCATAGAACCATGCGTGCGGTCGGTCAAAATGTGACTTCCAGGAAATTCCTGAACCCCTGAACTGATCTGAGTGATTTGGATAATTGGATATGTTGGTCACCCAGATCAGGGCTGTAAGGGGATGTAACATTTGTGGGGATATTGTATGCTTTGGGGAACTTTTGGGGTTTTGTAAAATGTGTGTTTTTTTCTGCCTGGAGATAATTGAGTTAATACAGTATCTGACTCAATTATCTCCCAGGCAGAGGGGAGGGATTGTATTTTGTATTTGGGAGTGTCATTTATTTAAACACCTTTGTCATTGGTCTGGGACTTTGGGCTGTAGTCCCCCACAAGTTCCAGGGGGGAGTGCCCCTTGCATGGGGACATGCATATAAGGCCAGTTGTGGCTGCCATTAAAGCAAAGCACTCCAAAACTGTGTGTTGTCATGTTATTGGAGAGAAGGAAGATTTAACCCCTGTGTCTGCTGTTCCAGCTTGCAGGGGATTCAACTGGGAAAGTCCTTGTAAGGACTAGAGCTCCCGTGACTGAGTATCGTCCAGTGCCTACGGGTGTCTTGAGCTAATTCCCTATTCCCCTAATTCCCTATTCCGTTCCAGGACCCCAGTCAAGCCACGGTGAGGTTTGTCCCCTCTTCCAGCTGGGAAGCAGTCCTTGGCAGAGGTACCCAGCCAAGGTTACAGGGACCTCTTTTACATTCCCCATAGGAAAGCATTATTCCATGCTTTCCTATAGGGATACCGGTGACGCTGGAAGCACTCATGCGCAGCTATAAGGACTATGCTCTATGTGAAGCTCTAACTGCATTATAATTCTAATAGTTGGAATGCACTATATTAGTCTGCAATGCAGCATTACACAAGTCAGCAGTGCCTCTGTCTGGCTCATCCACAGTATGACATGAATCAACATATAGAGCTGTTAATGCAGACTGCAGATTACAATATTGCATATTCTTCTTATTGTGATATTTTATTAGTAGTTCTATATATTTATATGATCAGAAATAAACATGTTTTATATTATTTTGTGTAAACAGAAATGGAAACTTTAAAGGTGCAGCTCAATGTTTAACATTTACCTTCAATAGTACAAAAAAAGGATTAAATTAGAAAGCAATACATTTAATCTATACAATTTTCTAGTAGAACTGCTATCTAATGTATTGATTTTGTAATCAATAAGATATGGTCCCTCCCCTTATCTGTTAACGAGTGCTTCACTAAGTAACAACGAAGACTATTTGGGGTATGTAAGAGGGGGTGGGAGGTACACATTACGTCCACGAATAATGCAGGTTGTCACAGCTGCAAAGGATCATGGACGTTAGTATTAAGCACCAAAACAAACTACATGTACAATTTATTAGTACAATCAATCATATATTGACTGATTTTGAACATGTTCGAGTTAAACAAGAGGTAAGCAAGTGGCATCATTGGTGATGCCCTTAATGGGTGGGTCAATTTGTAAAGGGGATTGGTTCATCTGTTGACTTGGTCAAGCACTCCAGGATGACTGACAGCCTCTCTGGCCAGTCCCCACAGAAGACCATACAAAGAACATTGCTGCTACATCTCTCTGCGTGGTCCTAAAGCCCGCCACACAGCACTAGCACATTTAATGATGTGCTAAGCTGCCTTTGGCAATCCCATGGTGGCCCTGGATGCAGATAGGACCTTGAAATAGGACCCCAATTAAATCAACACTGTTGGGAGGACTGGAAGTTCCTATAGTAGATTACTGACTAGTAAGAGCATGCTTTCCTGTTTCAGCACACATGACCAATAAAATTCACAGAAGCTTGCCTGTAAGCCCAGGTAGGCAATTGTTCTAAAAGAAACACTTCAAACACCATAACTGCTGCAGCCCACACTAGTGGTTATGGTGCCCAAGAATGGTCTAGCACCCTCTCACCGTGATTTGTCAAATAGTTTTAGAATAGTTTGAAAAGGAACCCGGATCTTGCTGGGTACCCACACTGTGCTTCTAGATTCTGCCTGCAGGCGAATGTGGTCAGCTTTACTGCACTAAGCAGGAATACCAATAACCACCGTCCTCAGCTCAGATTTTCATCTATGGTCCAGCATGGTCCTGGACTGCACAGCTTTGTCATGCAGGAGAAGACCAGATGGGACACGGGCGCTTGTGTTGAGCAAATATTATACTGTATGGGATCTGGGTCGTCTTGGTACCATGACCACTATTGTATGCTGTAATGGTAATGATGCTTTGAGTGTTCCATTAAAGGAAGCTATTTAAAACTGTATCTCATTGCAGCAATTAGATTCTTTTCAAAATAGCAGGCATGCATTTGTGTGCCATTGACTTAATTTAGTTTTTTAAAGTTAAAACATGTTACATGTTTATGCTATAGTGGTTGAATTTGTCAGTAATTAATATATCAATTACAAAATACAATGTTTTATGACCGTCTTTACAATGAAAACAATATTCCTAAAGAGCCGAGGGTAATATAACATTGCACAAATTAAATACAAAATAAAAAGTGCACAGTAACTGCTAAGGCTACTCATAGTTAGTGCAGCATGCAAAATAACAGAATCCTGTGTCTTGTTGCCAAGGAGACCCTTTGGTCTTGCAAACCACTTGGGTAAAGAGAAAACTGGTTTCTTTGCTGCATGACATTTCAGCCGATGGCAGAAGTCTCACAAATTCCTCCTCATACTGCTCCATTTTTACCATGAGGAAGTGTATATCTCTTAACCAGTCAGGAACGATGGCAGTATACCTGCAGCAACACACAGGTTTGGCCAAAAAGAGGAATGCAGGAATAGCTCGATGTTGAGCAGAGCTGAGTACACAGAACAGTGAATGATTTTAATGGTAGGCAAAGTCTTGGGATACTCTGATTACTGTATGACTTAAAGGCACACTCTAGTCACCAGAACAACCACAGCTTAATGTAGTTGTTCTGGTGAGTATAATAGCCCCTTCAGGCATTTTCTTGTAAACACTGCCTTTTCAGAGAAAGTGTAAACGAGTTTGAGTAGAATCCTGCAGACCACTGCATGCTCGCCAAACAGTTTAAAGATAAAAAGATATGGGTACATCATCTCAGTATAGGTGCCTGTAGTGAAACAATACTGAAGGATGTAAAATAAATGTTTACAGCAAAATTCAAGATGAAAGACCCTGGGAGAATCAAACATGCTCTAGGCACTAACTTCAAACAAAGTGCTGGTCTAGTCAGTGGCGTACACACAACCCATGGGACCCCGGTGCGAAAACTGGTCCGTGCCCCCCCTCCCCCTTACTCTGCACGGGTTGGGGCTGCAACACATGGCAGCGGGCACCTGGTCTCAGGGGTCGCAGGGCTGCGACCGCGGTATGTACGCCAGTGCATGCAGATACACATACACTTAAAGGACCACCACAGACACCCAGATCACATCAGCTCAATTAAGTGGTCTGGGTGCCAGGCATAGGCGTGCGCAGCCTATTGGATTAGGGTGTGCACCCTAAAGCACAAACACACCGCATGTGTGTGTGTGTATATATACATATATATATATACACACACACACACACACACATACACTGCTGTGTGTGCTGTGTGAGGGTGCTGTGTGCTGTTAATGTGATGTGTGTGTGAGGGTGCTGTTAGTGTGATGTGAGGGTGTTTGTGTGTGTGTGTGTGTGTGTGTGTTTGTGACTGTGCTGTTTGTGTGTGAGGGTGTTTGTGTGTGTGTGTTTGTCCTGTGAGGGTGCTGTTTGTGTGAGTGTCGTGTATTTGTGAGGGTGCTGTGTGTGTGTGTGTGTGTTTGTGAGGGTGCTGTTAGTGTGCTGTGTGTGAGGGTGTTGTGTTCTTTTTAAAGGTGCTGTGTGTGTTTGTGAGGGTGTGGTTAGTGTACTGTGTGTGTGTGAGCTGTATGTGTGTAGGTGCTGTATGTTTGGAGGGATTGTGGAGGTGGGGGCAGATTATTAAATCCTTGCTGCCATGTGCCATCCCTGGTGGTCCAGTGGAGAGTGAACTCTAGCCTGCAGGACTAGAATTAACTCTCGCGAGATCTGAGCGTTGCCGCAGCAACGCTCAGATATCGTGAGAGGAACCTGGCGGAGCTTCTGTCTAGAGCTCCCTGGGTCCTCTCCTGCCTCCCTCCATGCTGCTGTGGGTCGGTGAGGTAGATCTTTGGTCTCCCCGCCAGCTCATGGAGGCTTAGAGCAGAGCCGGCACTCAGATAGGGCCGGCTCTGCGTGAGCCGACAGGGGAGATCGGGATTCCCACCCCCCCAAAAAAATAATATACACATGTGTGTGCATATATATATATATATATATATATATATATATATGTATGCGGCGTACACACACACACACTCACAGACACATTCAGAAACACACACACACATACACTCACAGACACACACACATTCACAGACACACACACATTAACACACATACACTCACAGACACACACTCACACACACACATACACTCACAGACACACACACACTCACAGACACACATTCACAGATGCACACTCACACACATACACTCACAGACACACATACACTCACAGACAAACACACATACACTCACAGACACACACTCACACACAGACACACACTCACACACACATTCACAGACACACACTCACACACAGACACACACACACACACATACAAATTATTATATTTTAATAATACAATGTCCACCCAGCCTCCCTGCCTGGAGTGCTGGCATGGACTTTTCCCTGGGGTCCAGTGGGGCGGGCGCCTGTCTGCATCTCAGCCGCAGCGAGGGAGCTGTCTGCTCTCTGCTCCCTCTCGCCGCGCGGGCTGTCTGCTGTAGCTGGGAGCCGGAAAATGACGTCATATTCCGGCTCCCGGCATCAGCACGCGGCAAGAGGGAGCAGACAGCAGACAGCTCCCTCGCCGCGGCTGAGATGCAGAGAGGGGGGTATCCATCACCTCTTGCCCTCCCCATGACAGGGGCAAGAGGTGAGACAGGGGGCGCTGAGTGCCTGCAGGAACAGCGTTCCTGCTCAAAAACGCTGTTCCTGCAGAACTCATACCATAGGCGTGCCACGGGGATTAGGGTGTGCCCAGGCACACCCCGTGCGCATGCCTATGGTGCCAGGTCCCTCTAGTTTTAACCCTGCAGATGAAAACATAGCAGCTTCAGAGAAACTGCTATGTTTCACTGAGGGTTAATCCAGCCTTTAGTGGCTGTCTCATTGACAGCCGCTAGAGGAGCTTCCGTGATTTACACAGTGAGAAGACGCTGAACGTCCATAGGAAAGCATTGAGTAATGCTTTCCTATGGGCGGTTTGAATGAGCAAGCGACTCTTGCCACGCATGCGCATTCGAAACTGAGAGGCTAATCGAGGTGGAGAGATCCACAGCGCCAAGGGAGTCCGGCACTGGAGAAATTTAAGTGCTTAAAACACACACACACACACTCTCACGAACAGACACATACACACTAGCTAACAGACACACACATTAACTGACAGACACACACTCAGTGACAGACATACATACACACTCACTGACAGACAGACACTCACTTTCAAAACACACACTCACTAACAGACGCACACAAACTAACACTCTCAGTAACAGACACACACAGTAACACACTCACTGACACACTCTAACACTAACACACACACTCTAACACTAACACACACACACACACACACTCTAACACACACACACTAACACACACACACTCTCTAACACACACACACTAACACACTCTAACACACACACTGAAGAGGAAGCCGCTCCCTCGCGCACCCGCCAGCCTGCCTGCCCGGTGATACCAGGGCCAGCCTCGGGGGGGCCTTGAGGTGGCCAGCTTCTGGGCCCCCCAGGAGAAGAGGCTGGCCACACTGGCATACATACCGGGTCACAGGGCGGCCGGGCCCCCTGGTGGGCTGGGCCCGGTCGCAGCCGCGACCCCTGCGACCCCAGTATGTACACCACTGGGTCTAGTAATGATGAATCAAAAGAAATACAAATCAAAGGTTCTGGAGAAGATTGGTATGACAGATCGTAAAGCAACAGAACAACTTTTGGTCACAGCTAAATGAGATACTTGAGATATTTGAGCTACTTAAAACATACCAATAAGTATGAGTTATAATGGTAGAAGTGTAATCGAGATCTAAAACTCAAAGCATACAGTGATTTGATTTGGGCCTCCTGTTTGAATAAGAGAAGAAGAATGACTGTATACTGCTTAAGTCTTACATAGATGATTGCATGGAAATCTAAGAAAGTCTACAGTAGTTTTTTCCTCTTGAGAAGCTGAATACATGGCAACTACGCAAGAACGTTTGTAGTAGGTACAGTTGCTCAAGGGAATGGACAGTCAGTGTCAATATGAACCAATCAAGTCATTAGGACAATCAAGGTGCAATATCTCTTTCAAGGAATCCGGTTTGTCATCAAAGATGCAAGGAATACCACTACATCCGTTTAGTGATCATTGAAGGTCTCATGGTCCTTGATTACTACCCAACCGACAAGATGATAACCGATATCATGACTAAGCTTGCAACAAAGTTCAAATTAGAAACATTTTTGAGTTATTTGTTTGGAATGTAAATCTTCTTTAATCAGGTTTATTGTGAATAACACTTGTGAGACCAAGTGGGGGGGTTTGAGGATGGAATCCTAATGTGTCCTCAATGTGTTCCTTTGTCTGTGGTACAATAAAGTTGTTACCCTGCTTCTTCTCCTGTTGAGTGTGGAACAGTGAAGCACTAAACACGTTTGCTGTGTTCCTCTATTAATATGTGCACTTGCCCTGTTATCCTACCCTCAAAATGCAGGTTGCAACAATCACATCGCTCACTTCTCCACAAAACCAGAGGCATGGCAGCACTGGTGGCATTGACATTGGTGAGCTGAAGATGGACGGAAGGTGAGAAAAGAGAGGGAGAAAAACAGTGAATGTGCATTGTTTTGTATATCTAGTTACCTCGTGGGCCAATTGTGCATGCATGCATCTGTGTGTATGTATGTCTCTTCCAGCATAATTTCCCAAAAATATATCCAACATCTGTATGCATGTAAATGTGTTTGGCAATTTGTATATGTGTCTAGAGCGCAAATTCTGCAAAAAGATTTATTAAGTATACAATCTTTTAATGTTGCTGCTTGGATCAGTGTATGTGACCAATGTTTATTTTTATATGATGCTTTAACTCAATTCAGAGTTTTATCTCTTCCTACTCTGAATTGAAAGTACTAGTAGGGCTGGGGAGTCCTAAATTGGCACTGTGCTCAAGGCCCTTTGGCACTATTATCTGGTTACAGTTCCAAAGATCCGTGTTCGTAAACAGCACAAGATGGCTTAATTAAAACAGTGAATCTGTTTTTATGGTTACTTATTGGCTGACAGCTGACTTCCCTTTTATTTTTCGTTCCTAACATTCCTGTGCATGTTCATACGTGTAAATGTCTTGTTAGATCAGGTTAGAAATCTAAGACATACATTATTACCATAAGTGATCAGGGTGTAGCGTCTACAATGGTATAAATTGTGTTCCAGCCCTGAACATAGAGGTTTGAATTTGATGGAGTTCAGGATAAGGATTTGAGCTGCTGGAACAATTATGAAAAGGGACAATTATCACACAAGCATTTTTACTGGGGTTACAATTTTAGAATCTTAAGCCTTTGAAAACATATCTTTCTCTGAAAAATAAAGCACTTGCTTTACAATATTCAACTGAGTAAAATGAAAACTGCAGCTTTTTACATAGTAATAATATATCAAGAACATATATTGTTCATTAATACATATGTAAAGCAGAAGAACATTGTAGATTACCCTAGATGTAAGTACTTATTTCTTTTCAGTTTGTGAAGTCTTGAGGTGAAATCTTTCACCAAAAAAATAGGAAGAATTGTAATGATTAACAGTTAGAGAAATTCATATTTTAGCTCAAAATGACTAAGCTAAAATAAGACCTGAGCTGGAGAGTTTTTCTAATTCTGTTGTCTTTGGGGTACAATAAACGCTGTTACTGGGCGTACGCACGCACGCACACACACACTCACACGCACAAGCAGATGTGTGTGCACAGAGGGTAGTGGCTGAAGGTCTTGCAAGCTCTTTACAATGTAGCTCCCCACAATGACTACATGCATAAATAAACAGTTGTGTGTGTGTGTGTATATATACACAAAACAACCCACAACCTCGCCCTAAGTATTATGTGTTGGTGAAATATATATGGATGCTGCTTTGTCCCTAATTAGGATTTAAAGGACCACTATAGTGCCAGGAAAACATACTCGTTTTCCTGGCACTATAGTGCCCTGAGGGTGCCCCCACCCTCAGGGACCCCCTCCCGCCCGGCTCTGGAAGGGGGAAAGGGGTAAAACTTACCTTTTTCCAGCGCTGGGCGGAGATAGAATGCCCTGAGGGTGCCCCCACCCTCAGGGACCCCCTCCCGCCCGGCTCTGGAAGGGGAAAGGGGTAAAAACTTACCTTTTTCCAGCGCTGGGCGGAGAGCTCTCCTCCTCCTCTCCGCCTCCGTTACGCCCCGCCGGCTGAATGCGCACGCGCGGCAAGAGCTGCGCGCGCATTCAGCCGGTCTCATAGGAAAGCATTTACAATGCTTTCCTATGGACGCTGGCGTGCTCTCACTGTGAAAATTACAGTGAGAAGCACGCAAGCGCCTCTAGTGGCTGTCAATGAGACAGCCACTAGAGGATTAGGGGGAAGGCTTAACCCATTCATAATTATAGCAGTTTCTCTGAAACTGCTATAATTATGAAAAAATGCACAAACAAATATGAATGCTTACTTTGGCCAGTGTTTTCGACTAAGTGGCTACTAAAAAAGGACCTGGCATGTGGGGTGTTATTCAGAGATTTATGACAGTGTTACAATGTCACTATTGATAAATTTTAAAAATGTATGTTTTGAAACCGCAATATCCTACTTGTACCTATAGCCCTATAACATGCAAAAAAAAGCAAAAAAGCACGTAAACACTAGGTATTTTTAAACTCAGGACAAAATTTTGAATCTATTTAGCAGTTTTTTTCATTCGCTTTTGTAGATGAGTAAAAGATTTTTCAAGTAAAACTCAAAAAACATGTATTTTTTTCAATTTTTCATCAGATTTTTGTAT